GCAAGAGCAGTCAGTGCTCTTAACCGCTGAGCCATCTCTCCAGCCCCTATGACACATGCTTTTAATCCCAGCACTCGGGAGGTAGAGGCAGACAGATCTCTGTGAGTTCAAGGCCAGCTGGGGCTACAGGGAGACCTTGTCTCAAAAAGACCAAAAAAAAAAAAAAAATCATTTAGTGTTAATAGCTTAAAATTCTTTTAAGTTTTGGGGCAGGTGAGATGGCTCAGTGGTTAAGAGCAAGCAGTGTTCTTCCAGAGGAACAAGTTTTGTTCCCAGCACCATTAGGTGCCTCTTCTGACCTCCATGAACACCCACACTCATTCATTTGCATATGCCAACCCCAAACACACATACATGCACATAACATACACATAATCTTACATGAAATTTTTTTTTTTTTTTTTGGAGACAGTGTCTCTCTAGCCCCAGCTGGCCTGGGACTGGCTATGTAGACGGGGCTGGCCTTGAACTCACAGAGCCTCTGCTGGGTGCTGGGATTAAAAGAGCGTCACCACACCCAGCTTTAAAAAAATACTTTAAGCTCCAATTTGGGTTCCTGTTGACAGTTCTTGGACTCCCTTCTCCCTTGCCACCCTGGCCACCTTGAGCAAAAGAACTGTCAGTCAAACAGCTAGCTAGACTCCCTGTGCTAGTGCTGCTAGGTTTTGAACACACCACAGGTGCCTTGAGGAAACCATTCAACTGCAAGACAAGGCTTGTCTTTGGCTCCTAAAGGTTTAGCCTCATCCAGGACTGTTTTAAATAGTCAGTGCTGGGCTGTTTACTGTAATAAGCTTCACTGGCTCTAGGTGACCCTGCAGGCTATCTCCACCTAGGACAAATGGGATCACTACCTCTGCTGGCTACCAGAGAGTGCTGTGACAGGTATAAAAGAGACAGTGCTTTGATTGTTACAAATGCAAACCTTTGTTTGCATATGAGCTTTGCTGTGACTGGTGCAAGCATACCTTCTCTGGCTATATAAGCTGACTGCCTGGTTTGGTGGACTAGCTGCTTCTGGTGCTGCAAACCTTTAGTACTGCAAGCTGAGCTAATAGCGTGAAGAACCAGCAGAGTAGCAGAGGTAGTGTCACAGCAACACAGCAACAGCAGGTACAGCTGCCAAAGAGCAGAGCCGCAGAACCAGCAGTTGTCGGTGGCAGCAGCAGGAACAGAAAAATGATGGCAGCCGCCACCTCTACAGTGATAGCTGTGACAGAGCCAGAGCAAGACATTAAAGAACTTCAAGAACTTGGCCAGGGCAAGAGCAAGAATGGCAGAGGTGGGCATGGTGGTACATGCCTATAATCCTAGCACTCAGGAGGCTGAGGTAAGAAAATGACAAGGCCAGCCTGGGCCACATAGTGACACCCTGGCTCATAAAACCAGAAAGGAAGAAAGGGAGGAGGAGGAAGAAGAGGAGGGCGGAACAAAATATTAAGATTCCATTATTCAAATATCAGCCAGGCATGATGGCTCATTCCTGCAATCCTAGGACTTGGGACACAGAAGCAGCTGGATCTCTGAGATTGAGACCAGCCTGGTCTACATAGTGAATTCCAGTCCAGCTGGGCCTACAGGGAGACTGTCTCAAACAGTAGAAATAGAGACAGTGAGCAGAGCTGAAGGAGGAGGCAGTGA